TTATTTAGTACGTAACATGCTGTACAGGTTTGCAGCCTACAAGCAATAAAATATATCATACAGTCTAAGTCTGTAGTAGGCTGTACTAGCTAGTTGGTGTAAGTACACTCTATGATGTTCACACAAGGACAAAATTGCCTAATGATGCATTTCTCAGGATATATCCCCGTCGTCAAATAACGTGTCCTCATCATTAAGCAAAGCATGACTGTGATTAATTTTTAGCTTTAGCCTCCAGTCTTCAATACTTTTAAAGATTATTTTGTTTTTAGTTGATATTAGGTTTTCAGTTAAAAAGGTTACTAGTTTTGACTGTTTAGAATAAATACATTGATACTTCATTGACTGAAATGGTTTCTGCAGCAGGTCTAGATCCCATTTTTTAAAAACTTTTTCTATTATTTTAATTGCAACATACAGTGTTTACTTTTTCTCTTGGTTTTCATCACCTTTATAATGCTCTAATTTAGACATATGCTGTGGTAGGCACTGTACATTTTAACATTTAAGCCCTTTTTCTCTGACACACTAAAAATCTCTTTCAGAGCAAAGAAAGTAAAGTACAAAGTTTATCCTCATGTAAATGTGGGTACTTATCAAGTCCATTTATTAGCATGCACATTTAAGATTCTAGGTAGATTTTATCTGAAAATCTTCCTCAACAAGTGTATGTTTGTAACATCTTAATACTGACTTCTTTTCTCCCACTTCCCAAAAGTGGGATATCCCCAAGACTTACTTTCTAGTCTTTCTACCTGGATATTCTTATCTCACCTCAAAGGTAATTCAGTGTGCACAAAATCCAGATCAATTCTTGTCTTGCTAAGATATTTCTTCTTTAAGCTTTCTATTGTTTCCTGCACCCATGTGCCCAGACATGAAGTAGTCACTCAAGACGTGTCACATATCACATTTTTTTTTTAACCTATGAAATCATCTTGTTAACTGATTCCTCAAAATGACCTTTGTGTTAATGGTTCCTTCGGCCGCTCCACTAACCAGATTTATATAACCAGATACCTAGATAGATTGATTAATTCCTTCAACAAACATTTATTGAGTGCCTGCCTAGTACTAGGCATTGTGCTAGCGTGTGGCGGGGGTTGGGGGGAGTCTAATGAATGGAGGGTCCCAAAGTCCAATGAAGTAGTCAGATAACTAAAGAGACTATCCATGGTAGTTTGCATGGTGAATGCTATGATAAGATAACCACAGGGGGTCTGGAGATCACAAAGGTGGCATCAGCCACTTAGTTGTCCCTCTTAACTCTAGTATTATAAGCATTCCAACCCATTTCACATTCTGCTTATTTTCCTTAGTCACTGCTTCCTTCATGTTTCTTCTGTGATCAAAAATTGATTGCTCCTTAATTCATCTCCCTTTAGTTTGTCATCTCCCTATCATTTTTCTAACTTTATCTTCCATGCCACCCTAAAGTGAACTTTTTTTCAATTCAGGCTCCTTGTAGTGCCCCAAGAGCATACCATTTTCATTTCCAGTATGGTCTTGTATGAATGATTTCTCCTTTTGCCCTCCCATCTGCTTATCGAAACCCTATTTTCTAAGGTTTATCTTAGTTTTTAACCATTGCCTCAAAACCTTTTAAGCTTATTGAGCATCTACTTTTCTTGGCCTTATAAACACTCAGTTTATAATGTAGTACTGACTTATATTGATAGTGTTATTTTTGCCCCTCCAGGGATATTGTGAACTCCTCAGGCCAGACATCTTGTTGTGTGATGCTTTCGTGTACTCCATAGAGCCTAGCATAGTGCTGAGCTCAAAAACTAGTTGTTGAATTTCAGTAGAAGTAAGTAGAGCATTTTTCCCAACATTAAAAGTTGGTGGGCATGAGATGACATTCTTTTGGTCTACTGGGAAAGGGGTGTCCGGCTAAAAGTTAGAAACACTTTTATTTTATATAAAAATGTAAAACTGAAACACAAAAGGAAAAAGAAAATGAATTTGCAGAATTCATTTGTCTTTTCCCTTGGTTAGTTGTCAATGCCTGATGTGCTGTCGGTAATGGAAAAAACAGTTGACATAAAAGGCATGAGTTGAGACTGGCTCTGTCATTTAATATTGGGTTCTGAAAAAAGCCCCAAACCTGAGTTGTAGCTTTCTTCTCTGTAAAATGAAGTTACTATTACTTAAGGTTATGATGAAGGTGAAATTAAGTAGTAGACGTGGAATATTTTGTAAATTTGAATGTAATATATAAATCTTGGATAGTATTGTGTTCCCATTTGGATGGTAGCTCTGAGTTTGCATTTTACAAAAATAATGGATATCTAGAATCACTGTAATTAATGATCTATTGATAGTAAACTTCTTTGATATTTTCAGATCAGACTGGCTTTCTTGCCTCTCAAGAGGAGACAGATTTTATCCTAACAAAGTGATCATTGTATTATGATAGAGGACAACTAGGAGGGACACAACCCTGACCTGGGGGTGTCAGGGCATGCCTCCTGGAGGAAGTGACATTCAGACTTGAGGGATGAGTAAAGCTAGCCAGGGGAAGGTATGAGGGAGGGAATAAGGAGATGACAGAGAAGAGTAACTGCACTCTGGGAACCGAAAGAAGCTTCATCTAGATGGCTGAAAGTTGTCATCTGAAATTGATTCATTAATCCTGCTAATCCTTTTGATTTTAATTCTTCATAGAGGTGATTTACCAGCATTCCTTTGTAGTAACAATTGAATAGAATTTATTAACATCTTTTTTCCTTATCTAGTGCAGGTATATTTACTTATTAAAGCCAGAGTGAGAATCTTTTTCCTTAGACATTGGTCCATTTTATTTTGTTCTCTTTAGTTTGCAGTTACTCTATTGCCATCAACTACCTCCTTCGTGTCCTTTTTGTAAACTATTAAGAGAATTAGAAAATTGGTTTTGGAGGGGTTTTTGTTTGGTCTTGTCTATACAAACATGGCATAGTTTCAGATGTTTGGAATGGGTTCATTTGATAATGTTAAGGACCCCTCATTTCTGCTTAATTAAGAAGAATGGAGAAGAAAAACTGGTGAAATATTAGGGTTGGGAGTTCTGGAATAGAAAGCACTCAGAATGGCACTTGGCACTACACAGACTCTGAGTAGATGGGGGCTGGACAAAAGAATGTACTACATTAGTATAGGCAGAACACATTAAGAGAAAGGAAGATGATGAAAGTAAACATGCGTTGATGATTTAGGAACTAAAGCTTCTAAAGAAAACGGACATCCATGAGGTTGCAGGAGCTTAGAAATACAGTGTCTTACTAACCATGCTAATTGAGCCTTTGATACTGTATAACTTTATATTCATGTATCAGAACTTGGTAAAAACCTCAGTAAACTTCATTTAGTTTAGTCCCGTAAACAACAACAAAAAAATTGCTAGTTATTTCTTGTAAACCACGTAAAAGATCTGAGGGATACTTTACAGAAGGATAGGTCAGGCCTTGGAAAAAAGCCTTACCCTCAGGCACTGAGCTAATGGAAGAAAGAACAGGCATTCTCAGTGTTTGGCTTGACTTGTAAAAGTGCCATTCAGAAACTTGTGGGGAACATCTGCTTTTAGCACATCACTAGTTGTTGCACTATTTTTCTGCGATAATCAAAAAAAGGCAGTTGAAGGGAAGAGTTAATTGTTACCAGGTTTTTTTATTCCACTAAACAGGATTGGTGTTAGTGTTGGAAATGTACGCTGACTATAACATTTATTTGTTGATTTTTTTTTTTTTTTTTTTTTTTTTTGAGACAGAGCCTTGATCAGTCGCCCAGACTGGAGTGCAATGGCGTGATCTTGGCTCACTGCAACCTCCACCTCCTGGGCTGAAGTGATTCTCCTACCTTAGCCCCGCAAGTAGGCGGGACTACAAGTGTGTGTCACCATACCTGGCTAATTTTTGTATTATTTGTAGAGACGGAGTTTCACCATGTTGTTCAGTCTGTCTCAAACTACTGAGTTCAAACAGTACACCTGCCTAGGCCTCCCAAAGAGCTGGGATTACAGGTGTGAGTCACCATGTCCTGGCTGGGGAAGTATTTTTTAAACATTTTATTAGCAGTGCTGGGTTTATTTTGAGCTATTTATTTTTTCTCTGCATTTTCTTTTGAACCAACCACAAATTTTGAACGAGTCACAAATAGATCAGTGGTAGAGGTTCTCTTATTGTGGAATAGAGTTTTGCTCCTGGTGAAGTATAGAGCTCTATGTAGCTAGAATAAAAAATACTGTGAATATCTGAGATGTAAAAGATTTTTTGTTATTTTTTAATCTTCTTAAGAAATAATTTGCTGCTTAAACAAAAATAGTAACAATGTGTTGTGTTTTTTCTAACCAATTTAAAAATGTGTAACAACAATCCAAAAAATGATGGGGAAATGGAAATACATATGCAAGGCTCTTAAAATATATGTGTAGTGGGCTAATATCACTTGCAGACTAACTGCAATAAATTAAAAGATGCATTGGAAAACAACAAAACCCAAAGAAGTACAGTTAGTAAGACAATAAAGCAGATAAAATGGAATTATAAAAAATAGTATATAAAGAAGTCAAAAAAGAAAAAGGAAAAAAGTGAACAAAGTGTGATCCTTGAAACAAGGAGATATGTTCTGTGGACCGGTTTTTTGTTGTTGTTGTTGTTGTTTGTTTGTTTAGCTCACTCCCTATTCCTAGAGCTGAGTGTGAAGGTGCACTATATTGCTTTATATCTAAAGGATTGGTAGGTATCCTTTTTGGAAGAACTCAATTCAGACCTGGAAGTCTTTCATTAGTACTCAGGATATCTCTCACTTTCTACAATACTTGTCTGTTTTACGGCCCCCACATTCACTCCACACCTATCTCTATCACTTCCTTAGTACTTTAGGTGAAAAAAGGTCAGTGCTTTCACTTTGTCACATCTAAGATATTTGCCAGTCTAAGATATTGCATAGTAAAGTAGAATGATCTTTGATTTTTTTCAGTGCTGTCTCAACATACTTTATTTTTTTCCCCCTGAATTCAGAGACATGAAAAATGCTGTAATTGGAAACAACAAGCAGAAAGCCAATCTCATTGTTTTAGGAGCTGTTCCAAGGTATGTTTGCTGTCTCACCCCTTTCTTGTCATTCTTACTAGTTTCTAATGTATTTTTTACTATCAATCATAGAACCCATTTTTTCCTGAATTGTCTATCCAATTCTTAAAATAGATCTTATTTTAAAAAATAAGCATATAAACCATCTCTAAGGAAGAAAAATTACAAAGTAACAGAGAATGGAATAAAAAGTGACTGTGTTAATACTTTTTGAAAATTCAGAAAGACCTTTGACCTACAGTAAAAGGTATATAAGAAAGGTACAACAGCCTGATACTTTCTTCTCCATTTCCGTAGCGCATTGGCAGTTTTGTGTGTGAGTGAGTAATTTATAAGACCCTTTTGAATTTAAAGAAAAAAACTCTGCTTGGTTTTTAATCCAGTTTCATTTTAACTTCTGATTTCTACAATTTGCTGTTTTTTAAGTTAACATAGGAAGTTTAGGAAGTTTGATTTGTTCTTTTGATGACCTAGTAAGTTTCCTTTGGGCAGGCGATGACAATTATATAACTTCCTCTTTACTTTTGCTCCTCAGAGCTAAGTTTTCTGTGCAGTTTCTATTACATTTTCATTCAGAATTTTTTATTGTTTTGGTTTTTTCTCCTTATTTTCTAGTCTTGATGAAGAATTAATGGTTTAAATGTCTTTAACGTCACCAACCCCAAATGTATACTTTAGTAACTGTAAAGCTGTCAGCAGCCTTTCTTAGGGGATTTATGTTTGGCGTATAGTGCTTTAGGGAGCATAAGGGTCCTACCTTAGAATATAAGGTAGATGGCCATAAGTGGAAGAAGGTTAGGGTTTGGGGAATATTTGTTTGTCAAGCCAGGCTGGAGTAGAAATGAGAGGATCTCTTCATTTTCCAAATGAGAAAACTGAAGAAAGAAGAAACTCCCTTACTTGAGGAGCTGCACAAGAGCTTTAAAGATTCCCTGTAGGCTCTATCTCTACAAACTCTGTACTTCTGCTCTGGATTCAGAGCAGTAGCATTTCTAGTTTGAATTTAAGATCTGGCAGCACATGGCATTTGATTGAGAGTCTTCATATTTTGGAGACCCAACAGGAAGTGGTAGATGACGTGGACTACACGCTGTTTCTACAGAGACCACTTGTGGACAACTTTCAGATGTACATTTTTGATAAACTCTGAGAATATGACAGTTCTTTTTTTCAAAACCTCTTCTAGATTTTTTTTCCAGATGTTTCTTTCTTTAATTAGCAGATGAGATAAACAAATGACCACTGAATTCATATAAATTCAACCAACCATATTTTTAGTATGTGGACTGCACAGCCTTTTTTGGTCACACTGAGTCTTGTTTAAATTTTTTAGTCTCTTTGTTTATTAAGTTCCATCTTTTTAGATTGTTGTACTTGCTTCAGCAAGAAACCTCAACCACAGAGCTGAAAACTGAATGTGCAGTGGTGTTGGGAAGTCTTGCTATGGGTACTGAAAACAATGTCAAGTCTCTACTGGACTGCCATATTATCCCTGCCTTATTGCAAGGTATGTAGGGAAGCCATTTTTTGCTCAAGTAAGGATAAGAATCAGTTTACAGTACTTTAAATACTGGTTGAGAAGATTAGTCTTAAATTTAGTTTCTGTTAATAGGACTACTGTCCCCAGACCTGAAGTTTATTGAAGCTTGCCTCCGATGCCTGCGCACCATCTTCACCAGTCCTGTCACTCCAGAGGAGCTACTGTATACAGTGAGTTTTAGATATATTTGAGATATTAGTTACATTTCACTAACAGCCTACTCCTAATTTGCTTAGCATCTTTAGACTCATCATAACTGTGTTATGTAAAAAAGCCTCAGCTGGGCATGGTGGCTCAGACCTATAATCTCAGTGCTTTGGGAGGCTGAGGTGAGAGGTTTGCTCGAGGCCAGGAGTTCAAGACCAACCAGAGCGACATGACAAGACTCCATCTCTACACGAAAAAAATAAAAATAAAAATAAATTAGCCTGGTGCAATGGTGCATGCCTATAGTCCTAGCTACTCATGAGACTGCAATGGAAGGATTGCTCGAGCCTAGGTGCTTGAGGTTATAGTAAGCTATGAGGTGCCACTGCACCTCAGCCTAGGTGACAAAGCAAGATCCTGTAACTAAAAACAAACAAAAAATAATAATAAAAGTCTCTGCCAGGTGTGGTGGCTCACGCCTATAATCCTAGGAGTTTGTGAGGTCAAGGTGGATATATTACCTGAGGCCAGGAGTTCGAGACCAGCCTGGCCCACATGGTGAAACTCCGTCTCCATTAAAACTACAAAAATTAACTGCACATGGTGGCACATGTCTGCAACCCTAGCTACTAGGGAGGCTGAGCCATGAAAATCACTTGAACCCAGGAGGCAGACATTGCAGTGATCTGAGATTGCACCACCGCACTCCAGCCTGGGTGACCGTACAGACTCTGACTCTAAATAAATAAATAAAGTCTCAAAAAGTGTTAGAGTTCTTGCTTATTTCCAAATATCAGATGCTCTCAGCTTTGTAAGAAAGTGAAAGATAGTCTCAGACTTTGAGGAATTCACAAGCTATTTTTAAAAAGACCAATTTTTATCCCTCTGTACGTAGAACTTAAGAGAAGCTTATTTTATGCTAGATGAACGATAAGGAGTTCAGCTTACTTTAGGTTGAAATCTAGCAGAGTAGGCTTTGCAGAGAAGCTAGAATTTAATCTGGGCTTTGAATAATGGATAAGATTTAGAGAAGTGGAGAGGAAGGCATGAGGCACCGTCCTAAACTCTTCTAGCGTGTTTTTTTTGTTGTTGTTGTTGATGGGGGGAGATAGTGTCTCTTTTGGTCACCCAGGCTGGAGTGCAGTGGTGCAGTCTCGGCTCACTGCAACCTCCACCTCCTGAGTTCGAGCAATTCTCCTGCTTGAGCTTCCTGAGCTTCTCAGCTGGGCCTACTGGCATGCACCACCACGCCCAGCTAATTTTTGTAGTTTTAGTAGAGACAGGGTTTCACCATATTGGCTGGGCTGGTCTCAAATTCCTGACTTCAGATGATCCACCCACCTCAGTCTTGCAAAGTGCTAGAATTACAGGCGTGAGCCACTGTACCTGGCCATTTCTAGCTATTTTTCAATATACAATAGATTACTGTAAATTACAATCACTTTACATGGGGTTAATATTTTTGAAACTCTTTCAGTTCACAGCAAGAAGCATATTTTCCATTGCCTCACTATACATGTGAATTTGTGTGCTTGTGTGTGTATGTAGGTATGTATGTATATGTGAAAGAATCCTGAGACAAGTTTCATGACATAGTTCCACGGATGAAATGCCCTCTGGTTTCTATGTGATCATTTTTCATTCTTCAAAAAAATGGTGGTTGTGATTATCTGAGCCAGCATAACAAATCATGTTGTCAAATTGTGCACACAGGAGTCAGAGATCTTATCCAGAATTAGGCTTTATAAGTATTTTAAGACTATAAGTAATCAAGAGGCATAGGCAAAGCAAGCATGGAGAAGAGACATGTCACATGGCTCCCTAGCCTGTCCTTTCTACATCAGAAACATACTCTGCTGGAACTTAATGATACATAACGTGGTCAATAGGTGAGATTTATGGGTTACCTCCCATAGGGAGCACCTAAATTATGAAACTTCTTTTATTTATTTTTGATAGGCAGATTTGCTCTGTCACCCAGGGTGGAGTGCAGTGGCTCAGTCTTGACTCACTGAAATCTCTGCCTCCCAGGTTCAAGTGATTCTCCTGCCTCAGTCTCCTCGGTAGCTGGGATTACAGGTGCGTGCCACCATACCTGGCTAATTTTTTTTGTATTTTTAGTAGAGACAGGGTTTCCCCATATTGGCCAGCCTGGTCTCGAACTCCTGACCTGGTGATCTGCCTGCCTCAGCCTCCCAAACTGCTAGGATTACAGGTGTGAGCTGCTGCATGCAGCCTAACATCTTTATTTTATACCTCATAGTTTTATGTGAGATTCTTCAGGGAGTCATAACCTCATAAATCTGTAGATTGTTTACTACAGTGGTTCTCAGATTTGAGGTTGCACTAGAATTACGTGGAGGGCTTGTCAAACAGGGATTGCTAAACCCCACCTCTGGTTTCTGATCCAGTGAGTTTTGGGTGTGGCCTGAGAATTTGCATTTCTAGCAAATTTTCAATTTCTCTCTTTGAGAACTACTGCTTTACTGTAGACATCCTGCTTAAAGCATTCCATAGAGGACTTAGTAACTATCAGTTTATTGTCCCTGTAGTTCATATGGTAATGTTTGCAAAGAGATTAAGCCAGTCACCTGTCTTATTTACCCTGGAAGTTTCTCACCTACCCTCAATCCCATAATAAGGGGAGAAGTTGATCCTGGCCAACTATTTTAACTCCTTCCACCTCACTCTCTAAACTGATTCATGACCTACTAATGGATCATGGTGCACAATTGGGAAAATTCTGGTCTATGCCAACTGTTCTACATGAGAAAAATTGAGACCCAGGGAGGTTAAATTTAGATAGAGTGTCTAAATTATGAATCATCTCAATTTTGTGCCTCAGATATTTTATACCTCAGAGACAGTGGAGAATTTGTGAAGAGTTGGATTGGGGAATAACTAGCAGCAGTGTTTCAGTGTAATTAACTGACTTCTATGAGTTGGGGTGTATAGAGGCCAGCTGTTAGAGCAACTCAGGCAGTAGAATAGAGATGGGGCAGGTAATCCAGTAAGAAGATGGCAGGATTTCTAGCTTGAAATTGTGTTTACTAGATGGGTGCTTTTGGGTAAATTTTGTATTTAATAATTGTTCTTTGCCTTATTTAATCATCTGTAAACTGCAGATATATAGACACAATTAACAGAAAGGGGGCAGATATGAAGAAATGGGATGGGGGCTATTGTAACTGAGGGAAATTGAGGAATGCAAGAACATTAGAAGAAAGGAACGAGGTGGAAATAGCTTTAGGAGCCTAATAGAAACTTTTTAAACTACCTCTGTGTTTGCTTTTTTATCTTAGCTGCTACGTACTTCACCGTTCTTTGCTCAAAGTATGGTCTGTAGGCCAGTGGCATCAGCCTCATTTGGAAGCTGACTCTTAAGATCCTACCCCAAACCTACAGTATCAAAGTACATTAAGAATATCTCCTGGGAATTTGCATGCACATTCCTTCTTGGGAAGCATAGCTCTTGTGATGTCATTGACTGAGAAGCTTGAGCTAAGTCTCCTTTCTTACCAGCGGTTCCAGCTAGATAACCTTTCAACTTTTAATTTCTTCTGCATTTTTTTTTTTTTTTTTGAGACGGAGTCTTGTTCTGTTGCCAGGCTATAGTACAGTGGCATGATCTCGGCTCACTGCAACCTCCACCTCCCAGGTTCAATCTAGTACCCTGCCTCAGCCTCCTGAGTAGCTGGGACTACAGGCGCGTACCACCATGCCCGGCTAATTTTTGTATTTTTAGTAGAGGCCTTCCAAAGTGATTACAGGCGTGAGCCACTGAACCTGGCCCTTCTGCATTCTTCTGTTGTTTTCTGTTTTTGAGACAGAGTCTCACTGTGTCACCCAGGCTGGAGTGCAGTGGCGTGATCTTATTGCAACCTCTGCCTCTCTAGTTCAAGCGATTCTTGTGTCTCAGCCTCATAAGTAACTAGGATTACAGGTGTGCGCCATGACAGCAGGCTGATTATTGTATTTTTAACGGAGACAGCAATTTGCCATGTTTGCTAGGCTGATCTCAGACTCCTGACCTCTGGTGACCCGCCTGCCTTGGCCTCCCAAGGTGCTGGCATTACAGGCATGAGCCACGGCTCTCAACCTGCATTCTAAATAAAAGGAAATTCTTGGAGAGCCTTGCAGCAGAGTGGGTTGATTCTTTTCTCTTATTCTGTGCTATTACATAGGTTGTTAAATGTCAGCAATAGGCAGAGAGTGGGCTGTACCTGAGAAGCTGCCAATCATATAAATTGTCTCTGTAATCCCAGCAGTTTGGGAGACCGAGGGGGTTAGATCCATGAGGTCAGGAGTTGGAGACCAGCCTGACCAACATGGTGAAACCCCAGCTCTACTAAAAATACAAAAATTAGCTGGGTGTGGTGGCATGCACCTTTAATCCCAGCTGCTCAGGAGGTTGAGGCAGGAGAATTGCTTGAACCCCGGAGGTGGAGGTTGCAGTGAGCCGAGATTGCGCCACTGCACTTCAGTCTGGGCGATAGAGCAAGACTCCATCTCAAAAAATAAAAAAGTAAATTGTCTCATCTCGTACAGATTGAAAATAGTTAACTACAGTCTTTATGAGAGATTGTTAGTAGTTACTGGTGCTTAACATCTTGAAGATCAAAATTTTCAAATTTTATTTTTATACAGTAATTCTTCTTATAAACTATGTACTAGTGTATAACGTACTAGCTACCTCACATTTTTGTTTCAGAACTTATTTCTGTCATATCTTATTGAAATGATTTTGTTTTATCGTGAGGATGTAGGCTGTTTTTTGAGAGAGTTATTGAGAATTTCCTGTTCTCATATTTTGTTACCAAGGATGAATATTTAAACCCCTTTCTTTGTCGTTGGCCTGGACAGTTTTGATGGGCCATGTTGCTTCTGTTTTGTTCTGTGCGTTAAAGAGACTTGATTTACTGTCATTAAGATAAGAGATTTGACTACCTTCTCGTGGAAATACTTTGTTTCATCAAATGTAGTCATGGCACCTGAGTTCTTGTTGCTGTGTTCTCTTTTCCTAGGATGCCACAGTGATACCACACCTCATGGCACTGCTTAGCAGGTCCCGCTATACCCAGGAGTACATCTGTCAGATCTTCTCACATTGCTGTAAAGTAAGAACCAGAATAAATGTTCTCTATAATACAAAAATCTTATGCCTTTAAGAGATTTACCTTCTTTGTGTACCCTCCCAGAGATAATCTACGCATATGTAAGTAGACCTATGTGTATATATATATTTGGTTTTAAACACAGATGACAGCATATGATACATACTGTTCTGCACCTTAACATTTTCACTTGACATATCTTGAAGGCTGTTCCATATCAGTACATAAGGAGCTCTCCGTCATTCTTGTTTTTTAACAGTGCATAGTATTTTAGTGTACAGTTATATAATTTGTTTATCCAGTCCTCTATTGTTGGACATTTAGTTTGTTTCCAGTCTTATTACAATACTGCAACAAATACCTTGTATATAAGGCATTTTATAAGAAATAAAATTTTTGAGTCAATTTATATATTTGTAATTTTACCACATATTTTTTTATAGCGATTGTACCAGCTTATATTACCAGAAATGCTGTGATCATGACTGTTTTCCCTCACCCTTGTGCCCTATTACTGGAAACTGGTTTAAGTGATCTCATATAAGGAGAAAGGAGAGAGATTCTTCTCATTGTTGAGTGAAGTTTCTCTTTCTTTTCTCTTCAGCCTATGAAGTGCCATTTAGTTTGGTTTATAGATTATATGTTGAATGTATCACTTTTGATAACCATGGGTAACCAAGGGTGATTACGTATTTGAGATCTTTCTTAATTTCTACACGTCTTCTAACCAAATAAGTATCTTCCTATGATGCCGTATCATTTATAATGCAAATGCCAAGTAAGGAGCTTTGGGAACTATAGGAAAGAGGGGATAAGGGAAGTGAACACCTGGAAGACATAGGTCTCTGCTGTTTTAGAACAGCTTTCCAAATAAATGAAAGCTAAATCACCTGGTTGTAGGAAAAGTTTCTACATTATAATTTACACATCTGCACTCCCTTCCAAACAAACTCAGCTGATTATCACAGTCTATTCAGTACTATTTAAGATTTTTGTGAAAAAGTTTTAAAGTTTCTCTTCTCGGATTACTTTGACAAAGTGTGGGCCAACTCATAGGAGCAGTGATATCGAACCATGCCTTAATCTTTTGAGGTGGGGCAAAGAAAGGCTTTAAGAAAATGACAATTTTGTTGCAACTCACTTAAAATGAGCTCAAACCAGCAAGGCCTAGAATTTTCCAACAACAAAATGATGTCTTATAGCCAGCCTGGCAAGTTGAGAAAGATACTCCAGAACTGTATGCCTCATTAAAAAATCTTCAGGGGCCAGGTGCGGTGACTCACAATTGTAATCTCAGCACTTTGAGATGCCAAGGTAGGTGGCCCTCTTGAGCCCAGGAGTTTGAGATCAGTCTGCGCAACATGGTGAAACCCTGTCTCTACAAAAAATATAAAAGAATTAGCCAGGCTTGGTGGTGTGTGCCTGTAGTCCCAGCTACTCAAGAGATTGGGATGGGAGGATTGATTGAGCCCAGGTGGTTGAGGCTGCAGTGAACTCTCATTGCACCACTGCACTTCAGCCTGCGTCGCAGAACAAGACCCTGTCTCAAAAAATAAAACTGTCGCAAAGAATAAAAATGAAAATAACATCTGTTTCTGAGTGTTCAACAGAGTACAGCATCTACTAGTCATAACCATAGTAATCCCAAAAGGCTACTGAAAACTGGACCTAGAGGAATAACTATGTAATAAATTATTTTAAGCTATGAGAAGTTTGAATAACCCCATTCCTGAAGTTTATCCCATCCCCAAATAGCTTTGAGGATTACTCATCAGAAACTTTTCAACACTTTAGGTATTGCTCATCTGAAACTTCTCAATGCTGTTTTTACTAAAATAATAGAGCACCATTAAATCATTATTTTTTGCTGGAGAGAAATTTAAGCTGAGGATAATAATTAACAGCCACTCTCATACCACTAACAGAATGGAATATGTTACCAGAGAAAGTCACCTTTACTCACCTTTTAATTGGCTAAATTAGCATTTGCCACTTAATTAAATAACCACATTTAATATTCTGAGATGTAGCTAGGCTTCAAGAAAAGTATAGCATTTATCAACCCATTGATAACAGTAATAGCCTAAAATACAATATTGACGACTTTACTGATACACTGACAAACGTCTTTGAGAACAACTGATCTAATGGTCCATGTATTGTCATTAAATATAAAACCCTTTTATTTCCATGTTGTTCTTTTTTTGCATGTAGGCTAAAAATAAGATTTAAAGTAGAATTTTAAGACTTATTTGCAGGGGCTCATGTTAACCTAAGATTAAATGACAAAACTTAAAATTACTAATTTGCTTAGAATGGGATCAATATTAAATAAATGTACATACATTTATCTCTTCCCTTTGGGGAAGGGAAATAAAAAGGGAGATACCACTAAAACATTTGTGTTGTAATCTAATTACAATTATATCTTTGAAATTTTCTCCCTGATTTATTCATCAAAAAACACCCACTAGAAGTAATATCTGTTGAAATTCTAACTTCTAAACTGTTGCCATTTCTTAAGTATTTACTCAGATTTCTGAGACCTATATTTTGGAGTTTAAGACCATGAGAGCTAGGCTCATGCCCATAATCTCGGTACTTTGGGAGGCCTAAGCGAGAGGATCCCTTAAGCTCAGAAGTTTAAGACCAGCCTTGGCAACATAGTGAGACCCCCCTGTGTCTGAAAAAAAAAAAAAAAAAAAAAGGACCATGAGGACTTTGGTGCTTCTTACGCAATGGATTCTGCCTCACTAACCACCAGGTTCCTGCAGGTTGATTTGGAGAAAGATAAACGAGAGGCTTGATAAGTCTCAAATGACAGCTTGTCCTTGCTACTTGGTTTGGCCACTAATTCTTTCCTTGCAATTGGCTTTTTTTTTTTTTTTTTTTTTTGAGACAGAGTCTATCTTCCAGGCTAGAGTGCAGTGGCGCGATCTTGGCTCACTGCAACCTCCATCTCCCAGGTCCAAGCAATTCTCCTGCCTCAAACTCCTGAGTAGCTGGTACTACAGGCGTGCAACGCCATGCCCAGCTAATTTTTATATTTTTTAAAAGTAAAGATGGGATTTCACCGTGTTGGCCAGGCTAGTCTTGAACTCCTGACCTCAAGACATCCACCCGCCTCAGCCTCCCAAAGTGCAGGGATTACAAGCATGAACCACTGTGCCTGGCCCCTTGCAATTGCTTTTATGCAATCAAGGTATCTTGTCAGCACCAGGAAACAATTATATATAGAGAGAATTGTTGTGTGCTTGATCTTTTCCCCATCCGTATAAATATAACTTAAAAAGGATATTCCATAAATTATTCAGATCTTAGAAAAAAAGTTAAAATCACAGGGATATATGTTGAAATGATGTTATTAATAGTAAAAGACTGGAAACAATCTAAATGTCTAACTATAGGGTACTAGTTAAATAAAGTTTAGAACATTCAGATAATAGAATAAGGCCAACAAATAAATGAGAAAACTCTTTATGTACTGATAAGTATGATCTCTGAGATAAATTATAAAGAAGAAAAGGTTTAGAGCAGTGTATATAGTCTTCTACCATTTGTATCAAAATGGGGAAAAGAATGCATTTATGTATCTGCTGGATATGTATAAAATGTATTGGAAAATGTAATCTATTAGGTCACCTCAAAGCAGGAGAACAGATTGGCTGCAGATAGAGGTGGAAAAACAATGAGGTGCAAGAAGCTGAGGCAACAAGTACCCATGCCTACTTAGCTTTTGTTAAGCTCTGCCAGTGTCTAAACTGGGTTGTCAAAATTGTTAAGGAACTCAAAAATCCTTAGTGTGATGATATAAGCTGAAGCTAATTTAGGCTTATCTTCACAATTTAGTAACTAGGTAAGAAAAAAATGGGCTGAATCCTTACAAGACCCTTTTTTCCTTGGCTCCCCTACTTCAGTCTTCACCAGTATTTTTATAATGAAGAAGCAGGGACCCCTTTGTTTCAAATGAGACAACGAATGTAAAGTGTTTGGAGCAGTGCCTGGCACATAGCAGGATGTATCCAGTAAGCAGTACCTATAATTACAACTGCAGATGATGCACGGATGAGGTGGGAGGAAAGGGAGGACACTTAAAACCAATGCCCTGAGAATGTCAGTATTTTCAGTTATTGCAAAAACAGGTTTGCACCGTTCTGGATGGATATGTAACAATAACTGTATTACACCATTTTACTCTGGGAATTTATCCTCATAACCTAAGGATTTGCACTGAGACGCAGCTTCAAATAATGTTCAACGAAACGCTGCTTATAACAGTAAAACATTAGAAACTATCTAAAATATATAATGGGGGTTTGCATGAGCAAACTGTAGAATACTATACTGGTATTAAGAATACGAAACTCCAAGTTAGAAAGTATGGAAAAAGAGACAAATTGCTGAATTTTTTAAGGATTCTTTTAATAATATATAAAATATTTGGAGATTGTTACCTATAAAATAGAATATGACTGTTGTGCTCTTCAGAAGTATAAATGCTAATTTTCCCACTTCAAATGATGGATGTTTTGGCTCAAGAAAGAATGAGCATCTTCATAATAATTGTTACTTGCTTAAATAATGGGGTGGAGAAATTGGTTTGAGAGCTCTTGCTGGACCAATACCTGGTTTCTTCTGGTGAACCCAGACAGATAGCCTACCTTTGTGATATTTTTCTCTTCTGAATAATAATAAGCATGAAATATCATTCCTTTGTTAGCTCTAACTGATTTTTCATTAATTGATTGGATAAGGTTGGACATAAAATGAATGAATAAGATTTGTGGCAAATTTGTAGCTTTGCATTAACTTTAGCTTCTGTCACTTTGAAGCTCTTTAGTACATTGATTAGTAGAATACAGAATTGATAAAAAAAAAACAACAACAAAAAAAAAAACCTTAGCCTTCCATTCTCTGTATCTTCTTTGTTTCTTTAAAGACTTGTTGGTTCCTTTTTTTTTTTTTTTTTTTTTTTTGAGACAGGGTCTCACTCTGTTGCCCAGGCTGGAGTGCAGTGGTGCGATCTTGGCTCACTGCAGCCTCTACCTCCCGGGTTCAAGCAATTCTCCTGCCTCAGCCTCCTGAGTAGCTGGGACTATAGGCGCACACCGCCACGCCCAGCTAATTTTTGTATTTTTAGTAGAGACGGGGTTTCACCATGTTGGCCAGGATAGTCTTGATCTCCTGACCTCATGATCTGCCCACCTCAGCCTCCCAAAGTGCTGGGATTACAAGCAGGAGCCACCGTGCCTGGCTGAACCAATACTTTTTTGTTTGTTTGTTTGTTTTTCACAAATAAGACTTTTTATTTGCCACTATTATAAGTCTGAACTTTAAACAGATTCTTGGACTGGTGGTTCATATCCATCAGCTCGTTCAACATTAGCACCTGTCTCATCCCCAGTGGCTTTTCCAGAACTACTGCCTTCACCATGAAGCTCCATGAGTTTTCCCAATTCAAACTTGGGCTCCTTCAGCATTTTTACTTTTCTAACGAAGACATCATGGAGAGGATAAATAGATTGGCAAGCCTTTTCTATGTCTTTTCCAATGCTGTCTGGAATCAGTTTATTGACCACTTCTTTCAAGTCATTTGCCTGCACCTCTCGGGTCATGATTTCCATCGTCTTCTTCCGGATTTGGCGGACCTGTTGGTGCTGAGCATAAGAGGTCTTCCGTATCTGATTGATGGTTTTTTTGGTAAAACCAACACAGAACAGACGAAGCAAGCAACCATCGGTAGTCTTGACATCAACATGAGCTTCAATCATTGTCTGCCATATTTTGACCATGGAGCACATTTTGTCACGGGTAAGATCCATGCCATGGAAGTTAGTCAGGCAGTTTTTGCCCTGAACATCTTCAGTAATTAGCTTGAATTTCCTAAATGCAACTTCATCATTCTGCAAATCAGCAAGACTAACTTCAAACACTCGACCCTTGAGGCCATCAGATGCAATTTTGGTTCCTTGGGTCCTGGTGACTAGCGTCTTTCCAGTATTTCTTATATTGAACATAGCGGATGCTTTCACATCATACCAATCTTTCTTAGAAAATGGATCAACCACTTTCTTCTTGGCTCCCTTTTTGCCGCCTTTCATAAGGCGCTTATTCTTGCCAACCGCCATGGTGCTGCTCAGAGAGCCAAAAGGGCTTGTTTGTTTGTTTTTCAGACGGAGTCTTACTCTGACACCCAGGCTGGAGTGCAGTGGCATGATCTCAGCTCACTGCAAACTCTGCCTTCCGGTTGCGGACTATTCTCCTGCCTCAGCCTCCTGAGTAGCTGGGACTACACGTGTGCGCCACCACATCTGGCTAATTTTTGTATTATTAGTAGAGTCGGGGTTTCAACATACTGACCAAACTGGTCTTGAACTCCTGACCTCGTGATCCACCCGCCTCAGCTTCCCAAAGTGTTGCCATTACAGGCTTGAGCCACTGTGCCCGGCCAAACCAATACTTTTTAAAAAAGAAATCAGATAGAAATATGGAAACAAAAACACATCGTTCACTTCTCATTTACGGAGAGTTGTGTTTCCCACTATAGCATTATCCAGACCTCTCTGATGTGTTAAGGTAGGTTAGTCCGTGGTCCAGTTCCTTTTACAAATCATTTTTAGAGTTCCTCCTGACTAGCTTATCATTTCTAAGTTGTAAGAATGACTCTGCCACTGTTTTCTATGGGCATAAGGCAATAATGTGCACATGAAATGCAGAATTCATCGTGGCTCTATTGCTGTGGTAGTGTTCTATTTAATAATTGCAGAGGACTTGTGCCAGTATAGCTTCTGTGCCCACTTCGGTATTTTAGGAAGTGAAGAGGTAGCATTTCTAGAACTGGAATGAGTTAAGATATGGTAGCCCCTTGCAGGACCAAAAACAGTGTCTACCCTGCTTTTTGAAGGTGTTTATTTAAGCAAGAGTAACAGGATTCTGTACTATAGTGAATGTAGTTTTATTGGAATGAATCGTTACTATTCTTAATGTGTTATTGTATTCTCTTTTCTTACAGGGGCCAGATCATCAAACAATTTTATTTAATCATGGTGCAGTTCAGAATATTGCTCACCTACTAACCTCACTGTCCTACAAAGTAAGATGTTAAAAATTGTGGCCAGATTTTTATACCTTGTTTGTGATTTCTAGAAAGAGACCCACATATTTTTATTGCTTCTTTGATAATTGTGATCAAAAGTAGTATTTTATAAGTAAAATGTTATAGGCTTTAGAATATTCTTTAAAACAGAAAAAAAACTGCCCTTGCATCTCTATTTTTTTAGTATATGGTTATACCATGAGTTCTTACTAATTTGCACCAATTAAATAGATTTCAAATCTTTTTTGGGTAGGTACCAGTGCCATAATGCCTTGAAGTATAGAAGCAGTGGGTTTCTATATCAAGAAAGACTTTGGATTTTATATTTGAGACCTTTATTTAGCCGCAGTGTCTCAGACTTAGCATATACCCACACAAACATCAACATTTAAAATGTGTTATGTTTTGTATTTTGAGTTAAAAAGTAAGGTGTTTTCAGACTTATTTAAATTTACTTTATTGTCTTTTATATATAAAAGTATGCAGGGTCGTAATATAGTACCAGGTGTTGAGTTAAAACCTTGGCCATTCATTGTTGTCCATCTACAAGTTGTAGCCAAAGTTGGGACATAGTCCTTATTGTGTCACATTACAGTTGGGTATTGTAGGAGTTTCTTGCAGAGCAGGGAAGCAGTCATGTTTGTCTTCTGTCCTCTTGCAGTGACTCCCTTCTACTCTTTTAGTCTTTAAATTTATTTCAGGTAGGACCTGCTAATGTGTGTGTTTTCCTTAACTCAGCTATCTAGTTTAATCTTGGTAAAGAGCTCATAAGGATAGAAATGGTGAGTGAAGCTAACTTCAAACTAGCTGGAGGCAGGGGAAAGAAACATGTACTGAGAGCTACTTCCTCTGTCCTGTGCTATGCAGAGGCTAAACCAGTCAGCCCTTGCACATCAAGAAACAGTTGTTTGGGTGGCTATTTATTGTTCCTTTACTTCACCTCCTTTGGCTTCATGAATTCCCCCAGCTCTTCCATTTCTCCTATCTTTTCTGCACTAGACTTCCTTATTTACTATTATGATTTGAAAAACCTACAGGTTGTGGAAAGGGGACTAGTCTGGTGACATTACTTTCTGCCAAGGTTTGGTATATTGCCAAAGTGCCATTAATATAGTCTGTGTTCCTCCTGTGCACTAATATATACTAGTGCTGCAGAGCATTGCCTAGATGAGGGGCAGGGCATCTTCATACCCCAGCTACCTATCTGGTGAGTGCTTGTCAACCTCATGTTCCACATTAAAACATCATGTGTAGACTTAGGCTTAGAAATGAAGATGAGGTTAGTAAAAGCTGAAAAGAATAAAAAATAACAGATCACTTAGGAGCTTCTGAAAATTGTAAAGCATATTATATATGGTTAAGAGATTGGACCCTTGGTATTGTCCCAAACCAGTAACCTAGTTTTGAGGAATAGTAGCACAATTCATGGGTGTTTTCAAAGTTAGTTTAGTGCATCTCAAATTTATTATAACATTGTTTCCTCTCCTTCTGTTCCCTTTCTCCATCCCATGCATAAGAATAGTTTATTTATTTATTTATTGCCTTGAAAGTCACTTGGTAATTAATTGATACTAAGTTCTCTTGTTCTTTTTATCTTACCAACTGTATTTTGTACAGTGCTCTTTTAACTTTGGGGATTTATCTGGTTAAATTTAAATTGCTACTTCCTCATTGGTTTTTTTTTTTTTCTGTTACTTCAAAATTAATTTTAACTTTTATAATTAATTTTAACTTACTGTACTCTTCAGATATACTGGTGTTATAGTTATTTCTTTGAGGCCTGTTATTATTTTAAGCAGATTTACATAATTTTTTTAGAAGAGTTTAGATTCTGAGACATTAAAATTTGCATTTGCAAAATTAAAATAAACACATTTTTTGTTTGTTTGTTCATTTATTTTTACAGGTTCGAATGCAAGCACTGAAATGTTTCTCAGTTTTAGCTTTTGAAAACCCCCAGGTATCGATGACCCTGGTAAATGGTAGGCTGGATCTTTCAGTGGCACCTACATGATTTAATTGATGAACTTTGTAGATTTAAAGAATTTCCTTAATGATTGTTTGTTTTATTTCTAGTTTTGGTTGATGGAGAATTGTTACCACAGATTTTTGTGAAGATGTTACAGAGGGATAAGCCTATTGAGATGCAGCTCACATCAGCAAAATGGTAAAAATCAGGACAATGTGGGAAGAAAAAGTGTTTATCAATATCTTAGAGTATTTTTGGACAGCCAAATTTGCTTGCTCCCAATCCCCATTTTATTTGGGGAGTTTGAAATTTGAAAGTCATGGAGCTGTTCCACATTTTCTTAAATGGATATGAGTTTTTTAGACTCAGCTTATTACTAGTAGTATGCAAAACAGGAACTCTCGTATAATATCTGAGATGGTCTTCAGAAAATTACTTTATTACATCCTCAAGCTACTGTTGTTGTACTTCAGTTGAAATAATACTGAATTAGATTAGATTAAACCAGCTATACTATGCTAAGTATTAAGCCAGGTAAATACAAAGATACAGAAATACGGAGTAAGAATTTATTGAAGTTGATAACCAAGGGATGATTTCAGAGAATGTGGCTTCCCCATCTTTCAAGGAAAAAAAAAACACACACACAAAATTCTCATAAAATTGTGATGGTTTGTAAGATATTTATGCAAAGTTATTATTATTATTATTATTATTTTGAGATGGAGTCTTGCTCTGTTGCCCAGGCTAGAGTGCAGTGGCCCGATCTCAGCTCACTGCAACCTCCACCTCCCAGGTTCAAGCAAGTCTCCTGCCTCAGCCTCCTGAATAGCTGGGATTACAGGTACACGCTACCACGCCTGGCTAATTTTTGTATTTTTAGTAGAGACAGGGTTTCACCATGTCGGTCAGGCTGGTCTCAAACTCCTGACCTTGTGATCCACCCATCTCGGCCTCCCAAAGTGCTGGGATTACAGGCATCAGCTACTGCACCTGGCCACAAAGTTTTTATTAGCAGAATTTCTGGCTCATATGAGCATTCAGTGCATGTTCTGTAATTATCAATATATGAATGGATGTGTGGAGCACTTGTGTAGGGGCCTATGCTAAGTATTTAAGAAGCTGTGGTTCTAATATTTTGGTGAGAATTTTGAATTTTCTTTCAATTATTCATGTATCATAATTGTTTGGTTTTTGTTTATTTGTATTTTTTGTTTGCTTGCTTTTTGTCTTTAAAACTGAGCATTTGCCTCTGTCAGTAAAGTAATATCCTCAAGTAAATGGTTTCAGAAAAACAATATGGTAACAAGCCTCAAGATAATAACAGCTACAAATATTTCAGCCCTCTGCAGTATAAGTAAAATAATTTTACCTATTTGTTTATAACTTTCTGTAGAAGCCAAACATGAGATGTTATTTTTTTCCCTATCTTGCTAAAGGAATGTAATCAAAAGGAAATTTATTAATTTATGTATCTGAAGTGCTTAATGTTCAGTGGCTGCCTAGGGAATACAAATTAATTATATTCTTATTCAAAGGCAGCTTATAATTATGATAAGTTATTTTTCCGTAGAACCAAATTATTGACTCATTCCCAAAGCCACTGCTGTTAACCTCTCAATTTTTCATTTCTGATGGGTAGTTGTGTTAGAGGTTAAATGCCTCTTCTGTGATACTTCTACTGCATTTGGAGTTAGAATACTCCAGCTTAACTTCATTTAAACTGAGATAATATGTTAATCTTATGTTTTACTTTGAACATTTTTCCCTTTTTATTATGGAAAATTCTAAAGTATGAATGGGCCCAACACCTAGCTTCAAAATGTATCCACTCATTAGGTTATTTATTTTTAAAACTATTTGGTAGGTTTTGGTTTTGGTTTGGGTTTTGGTTTTTTAAATATCTGACTTACCATCTGTATTTGTCAGTTATCTTTGATGGTTAAATTAACTGAACCTCCTTGTCAAAATCTTCTCCCTCAAGATAAGTGATATTATTTGGTTTTAATTTTTTTTATGAAATCTTAAAGACAAGTAATTTTTCATTTAAAGCTTTAAACCCCAAGCAAAAACTTATTTTCTGCTGTCTTATTCCAGTTTAACTTACATGTGTAGAGCTGGAGCAATTCGGACAGATGATAACTGTATTGTATTAAAGGTAAGCTAGTTAATTATCTTTAAAATGTAAAAATTATTCAGTTATGTGTTAAATATCAGTATCGATACTTATATTTCATTTTACACATTTGTCATTATTGTATGTGTGCATGACATAGAATAATATTAAAAGACCATGCTTTCTTTTCAGTGGATGTCATATAGTTTTTAAAAATTGATTTTAGATGTGTTTTGAAAATCAACATGAAATAATTGTCTTATTGTCACAGCCTTTTCATTTTATGGTAATTAGGAGGATGTGGAAATTGTAAAAATGTGTACAATTCAGGTGAAATAGAAATATATTTCATTCTTGTCATTAAATTTGTATTACAGTTTTAGAGGCAGACAATTTACCACTTTTGCAGAAAAAGACTTTATATCACTCTCATAGCTGATAATCAAAAGACATGCTGAGAGAGAATAAGTAGGTAACACATGAAAACAAGAATTTTCATTGTGATATGTCAAATGCCACTCGAACTTTGAAAAACCTAGAAAAAAGACCAGTCCTAAAAGTCCTAAAACCTGCATTCTGGTTTTAGCACTCCCACCACGGACTGGCTGGACATCCTTTATTCTTTTGATGCCTCGGACTGTGGATTTTGAAAACTAAAACAATAATTCCTGCTCATCTATGCCACAAGGTTATTGTGAGGAAAAAAATGTGTTAAATACATTAAAATGTCTTATTAGCTATAAAAATTAAGTATAAATAAATTGAACATGTCTTTTTAGATATGAGATCTCACATTATCATTGTTCAAAAGGTGATCCCAAGGATAAAAGAGCATGAAGAAAATTAATATTTGCTGTAGTCTTTGGGGAAGAGAATTAATTTAATGAGATCTGAGGACCCCCTAAGTAAACAACTCTCCATAGGGTGCCATGGACTTCCATGACAATTATCTTGGTTTCTTTAATTCTCTAACCTTCCTCTTTTTTGCATTGGCAAAATGTTAATAGATAATTCTTCACGTGGTAGTCATGAGCATTAAATTAAATAATTCATGAATTTATGGTATCAATAAATGTTAGTAACTAGTAATGTTAGGGAAAAAAGAATAGGGCCTTCTCCTTGGAAACCTAGGGTTGAAGTGTAAAGCTTCTACTAGCCTAACAGGAAATCAGTAGTGAACAATAAAGTGCCAAACTCTATGGTAAAATATATAATAGGAACTTATTGTATGTAAAAGAGCAAAGCACAGTTAGTTACCTGCAGTATTTGAGGAACACTTTCTATAATTGTAACATTTCAGTTCCTACTTCCACATTGTCCTTTCAAGTGAATTCATCAGGCTTAGACACAGTAAACGTCTGGAATATTTTTATTGAGAACCTAACGTAGATAAGTTACCAAAACCAGTGCCAAGATTTTTGAAGGATCTCAGAAGTAAAATTGGACTAGTAGATACCACTGCTAATTCCAGCAAGCTCTTGGAAAAACCTAGCACCTGTGAATGGTACATTTCACTTGCATTATAGTAGAACTGGTGGAATATGAGTAATGGTAAGATCACTGCAGGGTTTTTTTTGTTTGTTTGTTTTTTGAGACGGAGTCTTGCACTGTCACCAAGGCTGTAGTGCAGAGGCGTGATCTTGGCTTACTGCTGTCTCCACCTCCTGGGTTCAAGCAATTCTCCTGCCTCAGCCTCCTGAGTAGCTAGGACTACAAGTGTGTGCCACCACACTCAGCTAATTTTTTTGTATTTTTAGTAGAGATGGGGTTTCACCATGTTGGCCAGGATGGTGTCAATCTTCTGACCTTGTGATCTGTCCGCCTCGGCCTCCCAAAGTGCTGGGATTACAGGTGTGAGCGACTGCACCCAGCCGATCACTGCAGTTTTAAAGCTGTATTTTGTTTTGGCAACTGTGATATGAATCTCTAAAACATAAACCATATTACTCACTAATGAAAATATAGCATACTTTTTCTAAGGCAAAATCGTTTGTGATTAAATTGCTGGATCTCTTTTAGGTAAATCAGAAGATAGATGGAGCAGAACCATCACACATGATTTGTTAGGGATTCTTAAATGTCTTTTACAAAGCTGTACAATAAAACTTGTCTTATCAGCCCCAAAAGCCTAATTAGAATTTGTATTAATATACTTTGATGTGTGAATAGAGTTTAGTGTACCAGTACAAATGATTAATTGGTACTGAATTTTGCTTGTTTTTGCATTTTAAAAAATATTTTATTCTCTGGAAGTCAGTAAAGGAAATACTTGATCACAAACATTACTCCTGATAAAAGTTATTGAGTTGATTCAGTCACTATATGCTTAAGCTTTTACCTGTACCAAAAAGCAAATAATCTCACTACCTTTCAGACATTACCTTGTTTGGTTCGAATGTGCAGTAAGGAGAGATTGCTAGAGGAGAGAGTTGAAGGAGCCGAGACACTTGCCTATCTGATTGAACCAGATGTTGAGCTACAGAGAATCGCTAGCATAACGGATCACCTCATTGCTATGCTTGCTGATTATTTCAAGTATCCCAGCTCTGTGAGTGCCATCACTGATATTAAAAGGGTATGTTCTCTTCCTTTCTTAGCAGCTCAAAGGAGATTTTTATAAAGTTTTTCTTACTGTTCACAATTTTGAACCAATTGATAACTACAGCTCAAAGCCCTTTTAAATAAAGGATCTTTTATCTTTGCTAACGTAGATAATATTGCTTTGTGAGTTTTTGAATCCAAGTTGAATAATGTTTATTGTGAGAAAGTTTTTACTGAGCAGATAAGCAGTAAAGAAAATTACATCCTGCTGGGCATGGTGGGATGTACCTGTAGTCCCAGCTACTCGGGAGGCTGGGGTGGGAGGATCAGCCGAGGAGTTCTGGCCTATGTCAATCAGGCGTCCACACTAAGTTCGACATCAATATGGTGACCTCCCGGGAGCGGGGAACCACCAGGTTGCCTAAGGAGGGGTGATCCGGCCCAGGTCGGAAACGCAGCAGGTCAAAACTCCCATGCTGATCAGTAGTGGGATCATGCCTGTGAATAGCCACTGCACTCCAGCCCAGCAGCATAGCAAGACCATGTCTCTTAAAAAAAAAAAGAGAAAATTGCATCCTAACTCCCAACTAAACGTCAAAAGTAGTTGATTCTCCAAGCTAGGTATTGACATAACTGTATAATCTTATTCATGGTCACAGAATCCTCTGTTGTTTTATTCTTATTCTTTAGGTCAGGAGTAATCTTTTGTTACAGGAGACTAAGTTGTCCCATGTTACTTTTTGCCACAGTCTTTCTGTTTTGTTACTATTCCCTATCTTCTCTTTTTTCCAGTTTCATACTGTGCTTTGGGCCCATATGTGACAGGCTAAAATATCATTTAATCTCAAATATGGGAACATCAGGGGCCAAATTGTGCTTTTCCTGAAAACCTAAGTTCCTTAGAATAGGTAGATATTTCCTTTGACTTGTTGCATCCAGCCTGTTTGCCATATCCATTTCTCTAAGCATAGGAGAGGAACATTCTATAAGAGAAAAATTATTCAAGGAAGTCATGGTAGAGAAAGCATTACCTCTTAATTAGTAGCCAGTACTGTTTCATGAATGTAACTATATTTTTCATGCCAGTGGTTCCAATGGTAACTGTTTTCCTTTTGACTTCTCCCTCATGCTTTTGAGTTTCAGAAAGCCTCATCTGGTAGGCAGTTGTTCATTTGGCCTTTAACATTGAAAATAAAGCAAACTATTAAGGGAATATCTTTACTCTGTGTTAAGAAGGGCATAAAATAACCTTCATTGGTATTTCCATTAGTATGTACTCTACCCTCTGGGTATTAATCTTATGTGTCTGCCCTTCTTTCAGTAGTGGTGTTTTTTTCAGTAGAAGTGATGGATTACATACATTTAACCAGTTGCCTTGTCTGTTTTCCTTCTGGTCATTTGTTCACACTGACACTGTATTATTAATACAAAAATACATGAGCAACTTTTAACTACTGCCTCATGAACACTCTGAGTCAACCATCCCAGGAAGGCAAATAAAATGTTTTAATGGCCATGAGAGTAAGGAACCATTGTTTTATGAACATGTAGCCTATGCATATGCAAATCATTTAACTAATACGTAGATTATCCCTTCTGTTAGTTTTTCCATTTCATTTCCATCAGAGTAAAACTGTAACAACAATAATCCTTAAAAATGATTTCCTTGGCCAGGCGTGGTAGCTCATGTCTGGAATCCCAGCACTTTTGGGAGGCCAAGATGGGTGGATTACAAGGTCAGGAGTTCAAGACCAGCCTGGCCAAGACGGTGAAACCCTGTCTCTACTAAAAATACAAGAATTAGCCGGACATGGTCGCACATGCCCGTAACTCCAGCTACTCGGGAGGCTGAGGCAGAGAACTACTTAAACTGGGAGGTGGAGTTTGCAGTGAGCCAAGATCGTGCCACTGTACTCCATCCTGGGTGACAGAGCGATACACTGTCTCAAAAAAAAAAAAAAAAAAGACTTCCTTATACCAAACTTGAGTAATAGTTTGTTTTGTCAACTTTATTTTTGATGATGCATTATCCAAAGGTTTCTGACCCCAAAAGTATGGACACTAGACCCATAAAGAGAAAATTTCACATTAATAAATTTGTGATTTTCATGATACATTAGTTCAAGTCAGTATTATCATATCTTAATTTATGACTAGAATGTAGTTAAGACTTTAAGAGCAGATACTTTCAGAACTTACCAAATGAGTGTTCTGTATTAGGAAGTTCTTCCTATAATTCATCAGCGTCTGCTTTGAACAGAAGTTTTGGAACTGTTAAGAATTGCCTCCAGAGAGCCACCCCAAATTATATATATATTTGTAAAATATATATATTGTCTTTTGCTTTTTGTGGAGTTTTTTGTTACCCACATTATATTACCCCACTGGATTTCTCCATCTTCACACACAGTCAGTGACAACTAAAATTCTCATCGTTGATCAAGCTGTACCACTGTTGGTGTTTTCTAGCTAATAATACCAGTTAGCTCTTTAGAAAGTTTCACAAAGGAGTCTCAGAATGTTATGAATAACACCTGCATTACTGGATGAGTGAACCTTTTGAAAGTAACTTTGGGAAAAGTGGTACTCATTTGGATGATTACATTATTGGTAGACTTTGTATAGTTACTTGATGATAGTCATTGAAAGTATCCTGAAAATAAGCTTCTGTTTTTATTTTACAGTATTTTGGTGATAGATCAAGTTTATAGAAGAGCTGATAATTAGCCAGTTATGCATGTATAAAGATAGCATTAATTGCTTCATGCTGATAATTTTGATAATATTCTTGAAAGAAAAAAAAACCATAGTATATGGTTTGTTAAGGGTTTTCACAATGGGTTCCCTGTTTCTAAATGCTTTTAAAATGCCCAAATTAGGCCAGCTCTACTCTTAATGTTTGAGAAAATTAAGGAAAACCTCCTAAAGACATTGTTGCAGTATCACTCAGGCTATATCAGCTGTAGTCTGGGGCTAGAGAAGTCTAGGTGTGCGTTCTTTTTGAGGAGAACATTTCAAAGAGCTCCTGCAAGCAAGCATTAGTGCCACTAAAGCTACCATTTAGGAACACTGAATTTTTAGGAGTCAGAGATTCACAATGGTTTTTCATATATCAGTGTCAAGTGTAGTGTTCACTTTTAGATAAAAGCATACTGTGTGCATTTTAGGCCACATTGATACAGACACTACAAGGTCTCAGTTCTATGTGAACAGAATCCAAAAATAACTGGGAAATGTAGTTAATGACTGGGAAATTCACTAAAATCTAAAAGTTGTTAACTTTTTTTTTCTTCAACTCAGTTAATGTTATTGAAAGTTTAATTAATGGATTGAGTTGGAACGTATCCTTTTTTCCCCCATAGCTTGATCATGATTTAAAACATGCTCATGAACTCCGCCAGGCTGCATTCAAGCTCTATGCCTCTCTCGGAGCAAATGATGAAGACATCCGGAAGAAGGTGAGTCTGGGAGAGGGGCGTCCCCCAGTCCTGACAGCCAGCAGGCAGGGAGTGACGTCAACCTGAAAGTCGTGGTGAAGAGCACTAACAGTGACTGTTTGAATATAATAAAGCAGAGTGACTAAAGGCATAATTGAAGAATGAATGGGACCCGGATTTGGGGGGTTGTTTGTTTTTAGAACATAGAGTGGCATGGCCGTGCTGGAATGACAAATAACTGGCGTGCTTTTTTTGTGTGTCATTAATATGAATTATTATGTTGCACATTTTTGCATGTGTTCTGATAAAAATCAATTCTAGCACTGTGAAGCTTCAGACACCTTGAAAGTCCTAACATTAGAATTGTAAATGTTATTTATGGAAATACCTTCTAATGCTATTGAGAAATTCAAATCTCTATTGTATATTGTTCTTTGATATGTGGCTTAGTTTTATGTTTTGATTTTTTTTTTTTTTTTGCTACTGTGCAAGTTTAATGTGAATAAAATCTTTGTGGAATGATGATTTTATGTTTAGTGAGTGGTCATCTGAATTTTCCAGCTCCCCAAAAAATGTATGCACTGCTATAGCACCCTTTTGTTACTAAAGCCTAGTTTAACACTGAACTCATGTTCTTGATAAGAATACTTCTAGGTGAGGAGTATAGTGGTAACTAAGCTCTGACCTGGCTCCCTCCACAAACCAAAAAGCTGGAACTTAACCACTCAGAAACACGTATAACCTAATAAATTCTACACAAGGCCTTCAGGACCATCAGAGAGTAAAACCACATGTTCTGTCTTGAGGAGCCATAGCAGAAAGAGCAAATTGGTTATTATTTGCTAAATCTCCCCATCTGTGTTATTATTTTAAGGAGCACTGTGAGAGAAATCACAAAGTATTAGAGTTTACCATGATTCAGAGAAGTACTTGAGGCCTGTAGAAAGAGGAGTATGGAACAACCTTACATTTGTTGAAATAACTTGAAAAATGAATCATTTCTTGAAGAAACTGAAGTAATAGCAATAAGATTTGATGTGTGAGTAGCTTTGATTTAAAATCAATGCAAAAAGCACAATAATAAATTGAATGTTTCCATGTGCTTCACTTTAGTTCAGTTAACAAGATGTTTTGACTTGAATGTTTTTAGTACATCCTTATGAATATCATTTTTGATACACCTAAGTTTTCATTTATAAACTGATTTCAAGACAAACATACTAGTGATATGATATATGATTTGTGGATGTTGGCGCTGATGTTCAGTTTAGGTAGGTGGTGTATTGCAAGGGGAGATGCTTTTATAACAGTAGATTTAAACATTGTTTAAAAATTGGTCTGTATAACTTAAATACACAGTTATTTGGATTTGGATAGTTATTAGGGGCCATTAGACACAGGAGAAGTATTTTACCCATTCTTACAGCTCTAAAAAGCCATCTCATGGACTGATAGGGAGATAGATAGATGGACTACAATGGGAAATAGGATATCCATTTGTGCTTCTTTGTACTTTTTTGTTAATAAACCATTGTTTTGGAATTAATGACTTAATTTGTGATATCATGTTCTAGAAATACTTGCAACATGACAGTCTAATCAGTAGTCTATTAAAACTTGTATTCATAATGTGTATAATTTCCTGGTAAGGCTAACTACTGATCGTTTCTGTAGAAAGATGACAAATAAAGAAAAAGTTATAATTATTAATCATAGTTTTTTTGTGTGGTAAAGCAAAGATTACTGTGATATTATGTAATGGGGATTATATAGCATTTTTAGGAAGATATTTAATTTCTGGGAAAATTAAGTGTTTGGTTAATTTATAGTTCATAGTAACTACTAAAGAGAGAAATTGTAAAATGGAAACTATAATTTTGTGATAAAATCTGCTTGAAGACTGGCCATAGGAGTGGAAAATTTTTATTTTCAGTGTATAAAACATGATAAATGTTAACACTTTTCTTTTGAGTGCATTTCTATTTCTTTTTTTGTTGTTGTTGAAATAATTATTTGGATAGATTTTTATTTACTTTCTCCATGAAATATTTATTTCTTGTTTACTTACACTTATGTCTTATGAACTTGATTGTATTTTTTGTGTAGATCCTTAAAGTACAATGTTTATTGTTTGATTTTTTTTAAATGCAATATTTATGATTGCCAAGATGGAATTTCAGTTAACCAAGTCACTGAGTGGAGAAACTGAGTGAATGAGTGGAGAATCTCTGAAAGAAATTTAAAGGACTGTAGGTCTACTTCCCCCTGTCCCTACTTCTCCCCCTCAAAAAGCAGCAAAAAGTTTGTTTCAGGAAAAAAAAGTTCAGTTGGTCTGCCATTTAAATTAAAATTGGGAACATAATTCAATACATTTAGTAAATAATATATATCCTAGTGCCCTGTTGATGGCCACTTAAGGAAAGGAGGCAGAATGAAGTAGAGACAATGAGAGTTATACACAGTGGTAAAGGAGAGGGACACCATCCTCTCTTCATAGAATTGTGTCTCTCTTACTGCTTCTAAAGACTTCTAAAGGTCTGTTGTGTTTTCATTTCTTGATACCTTCTCTTTGAGCCAGACAAAATTAAGCTGGAGATGGAATGTGACCTGTAGATCGGAGATTTACCACCCCTGCTTTGAAGCAGTGTTGGTGTATTCCCACCAAAATAAAACCAACTATATATATGGCATTCCCTGGAACTTAGTAAGCACTCAAGAAATATTTGTTGAATAAATATATAAATGAAAATGCAGAAATCATACACAGAGTGATATTTTCTTTAATTTGTTTGGATCTTTATATATCCTGTGTGGAGCAAAATTGGTATTCTAATTCCAAACTTTGCATCCTTTATTACTCTATGGCATACTTGAAGATTTCTTAATTTATTGTGATGTCCTGTCAGCTAGAGTGAAGGAGGGTGGTGCTGGTGGAAAGAGTTCTGCAGGTGAGAGTGAAAAATACTGCCATTGGCTGTGACATGAAGAGGGAGAAGAAGCCCAAGAAAAGATGGAGGATCACTGAGCCTGGCAACAGTTGCAGCTGGCCATGTTAAATTTAGAAGAATTCAAATTACCCGTGATACCTGATCCTGACCCTGGATTTTGGTTAGAGAGAGTAAGTTAGGCATAGGCAAGAATTCAGAGCTTAGAGGAAAAAGGGTCTAGAACACATTAACAGTAACTGCGCGACAGCAATGCCAAGTAAAAATTAGCTCTCACCTCTGCCAAAGGGAAAATCTAGTTTGTAATGATAACCTTTAGCACATAGTAATGCTGATTAGCAAGCAGGAGTCCAAGTCCAGTTAATGGGACATTAAAAAGGGAAGAAGTTAAGATACGAAGCAAAATAGATCAACAAACTATTTCGAGTACTGGCATCCCTGGTCAGCGATTAAGTCACAAGAGGCAGGAGTGGCAAACAGTCCTTTAATTTTGAGATAGATTCTTTTATGACAAATAATTGCTGTTATGAAGACCATCACTTGATTAGGGCCTATTGATCACCAATTAGGTTAGAAGTTGAAAAAGGATTATCTCTTTTTTCCTCTCTTCAAGGAACTAGAACTTGTCAGAAATGTTAGTGAAAATTAAGGAAAATTAGAAGTGAAGTATAAATTAAAATTCAAGGGAATTGGTATACTAACCAGGATGTTGGTCTTAATTTTGACGAAAGTAAACAGATTAGCCCATGTTAAGTACTTATTGTAACCTTCATTCCCTGGGCATCTGACTAATGGAGCCTTCAAAAAAGCTTTCCTCTTAAATTTGAATACTTACATTTTAGCTGGAGATCTGTTTTGAGGAACTAGAATGTAAGCTCCATGAGGGCAGGGTTTATTTGTGTTTTGTTCATTAATGTATTCCCAGCATCTACAACACTGTCTTTGCATAGTTGACACTTAATAAATAATTGATGAATGAATGAATGAAGAAAATGAACACACAGACAAATGGATGAATGAGCCATAGTGCATTATTAAGCACCCATTATCTTATATGCTCCTGTCTTCGTTAGGAACTTTCCTAACCTCACTAGCAATTCTGTCTGTGTTTAAGGAAAGGAAATTTGAAATAGAGGAAATATACATCTGGTCATATAGTCAAAGGTTTCATTATTATACTTAATATAGAGAAAATGCAGGAAATTCCCATTTTTCAAGAGGCATGCAACCTTGAGGGCTTGTCTTCTACTTGCTTGGCTATAGACCAAAGAAAACATGTTTTATGGTATTGTACTTGCTTCATTTCAAAATAATTTTGACTATTTCTTAATTAGAAAATACAGTTTCTATCTTTCTAAATGTGTGACTTTTAAGAAAGTTTATAGCATTTGCAAGTGTGAATCTAGACCACATTTTCTAAGGATAAAAGTATGATTTGGTTTACAGAATTTACCTTTCAGGAATCAACCTATTAGTAAGGTTATATATACTGATATAAAATATTTTTCCAATTAGTGTCTGATTTTTAAGATCAGTTATTCAAATCTGCATTGACTGATTGAACTACCTACATTGTATAATATTGCCCATTGGGTAGAGGGGAGGAGTTAGACAGGAAGGGGTGAATAAAGATCAACAAGGTATAGCCGTAAAACTCAGCAGTTATAATAAAACCTCAGTAAGTCAGAGAAAAGTAAGGAATGACCAGTAAGAATTTGCTGAGGGCTCAGAGAAGTATTTAGAACCAATTAAAATAGACATGTTTATCCATGGAGCTATCCTTGAGTCAATTTGGAATTTAATAGCTCAATTTTTTGTTATTTTAAATGCTTTCTAAATGCTTTTCATTTTACATTTTCAAGAATTGAAAACATGAACTCTTAAGCTTTTGTTTCTTAAAGGAAAAAAATTGTCCAATCACAATGGCTTTATATGACATGTGAAGAAAGCCAAGAGTGAAATTTTTAATTTTTTTTTTTTTGAGAAGTATAGGCAGAAGAAAAAAAGGAAAGCAATGAAAAAGAATTTGTCTTCTATCCTTTTTCCTAGCAAAGGAAGTTATAACTGCAGTCATTG